CGATTAGAGTTGACGTAACATCAACAAAATAATAGTGTGTGCTAAACGGATATACACAATCAGAAGGTCTCACCACTATACCGTAATACGTGTTGAAGAGAACGACAATCACTTATTGTTGTGCATATATGTATTCCTAATTTAGTGAAAAGACGGCTCCACAATTTGTTCGCTGCATAGAAAGCCTACTCGAACAGGACAAAAGTTGAATTTCTTCAGCTTTTTGTGCAATGTAGTATTGTGCAGCTGTGGTTCATTGGTTTAAGAGAGTGACTTTCAACTCTTGGTACACGGGTCCGAAATCTGCTTCACCTACGGAGGTTTGAGCAGTCGGACAGTGTCGCTAGTCGTCATACTATAGGTAGAGCTCATTACCTGTTCTATGAGCTTTGAGTTCTTTTTGATTTCGCAGGATTGGGGAAGTTTGGTAAGACGTCATTTTAATAGAAATATACATATGTGTACAATAAATGCAATTGGTGAAGACATCAAACATCGGAAACACAGTGAATTTTATAAACTAATTCACAAATCAAATAATTTCCAAATACGTCACCCTACTATATAAATGAAAATTGAATAGCATAGTTTTAAAGTGATAACTAAAACGTAATCAGTAACACGCACCATCCAAATTGACTAATGAGTGATGGGAAAGCAAAATATAAGCTTCAAGACTATGTTAAAGTTTGTGTCATATCCCACTGATCTTCTCATGTTGGTGTTTGTAAACTCACATACGTGTGTGTGTGTGTGGGGGGGTGTAACTCTGTTTTACGAGTGGAGATGATGAGACATACACCTAAATGCCTTCTGATACATAAATGAACTCAAATTTAATTAGTGGAGGTGTCACACAATCATCACCGTTAGTCAAATGGTTCATTTAGCAATGTTGAGGTGGCTTTTAAAATTTTACTATTTGGGCACTTAATTGTGCTACAAGGCGCCAATCACACGTAGATCTACTCTCTTCCCATATGTTTGAAACATATTCTTCCCTATATTCAACTTTGACAGTTTTTATACGTCATTTATGTGCAGGGAATCAAGTTGACAATAAGTTATTACAAATTTGATCGATAGACTTCGACCAGTGTTTCCTTACTAAACAGTTCATATGCTTGCTGCAGTATTCTCTGGGGTCGGTAGTGACTGGGATAGCTTATTGATAAATTTCTCGACTGATAGCTTCTACCTTGACGTAGTGGTGGGGCTTCCAAATCACAATAACCCAACGACCTACCCTGGTGGAAACGACTGGTGCTTTAAGGTCCTACTATACCAAGAAGGTTTGTTGGATAGTGGTAAGACAAAAAGCAGTAATCATCATAGTGTAAATTGCTACTCTGTGTTGGGGTATGAGGGTGAAGTCGTACTGCTGCTAGCTGGATAGGGTGTGACAGCAGTGATGACCAATAGTGTCACGCTGATGCTGCCTTCCTTATGAGAAGGGAGGGGAGTAGAAAAATAGCACACTTCAATCACCCTGTGGCATGCTGATGCCTGTGACTGGGATTCATAGTCGGATTTAAAAGCAAAATACCAAAATCTCAAACTTGCAAAGAGGTCATATGTGATCTACCCCAAGCAGATGTCCGATGGGCTCTGCAGTCACTTACTAACCCTACTTTTCAGGCACCTCAAGAAGAACTAGTGTCCCACAGTGTTAGCAGCCGGAAAGTATCGACCGCCCCACGCTTCGAGTAACACACAAGACCCATCGATAAAATTTCTCATTTCAGTACTTAGTTAAGTGTGTCCGATTCCATGAATTTCCTTCAAAATCATAGATTCACCTTCTGGATGAGTCCCTACCTGCATAAAGCCTAGATCGAACAAGCCTACTTGAGGATTTGCTCTTAACAGCTAACATACAATTTCCTCTTTATATCTACGTTTTCTATTATGGTGGCTATTCTTCTTTCTACACCTGAATTCAGTTTCGTATGAAACTGCTTGACGAATCAGTATATCTTGAAATTGTTCAAAATGCATTGTACAAAAATATATTACACCTACGTTAGTTGGTTAAAGTCAATTGCCAGGAAGCTCTAGATCGAGATTTTGTGCTTATCGTTACTCGTCAGTAAGGTGTATCTAAACCCTCGAGGAAACATGTTCCGTATAAGATTTTAACCTGAGTGACTCAAAGACGTTAACATCAACCTGTCTGAGCCGAAATAGCTGTTTTAGGTTCAGAGCTTCCAGCCGATTCTCTCCAACCAACTAACATTTATCAGAGTGTACCATGATGACGAGTTTCTTCTTACATACCGTAATACTAAATTACTGATATAATATGGTTGGTACTTGGGACCGGACAACAGGAAATTGGTTGCTTTCCAGTGACCAATCAGTTTACATCTTACACTTTTGGTGACAAACTTCATCTTTTCGAATTATAGTATTCAAATCTATGGAAGAGAGTAGTTACTACAAACATCTTGAGTAGTAAATCAGTTACCTCAATGTCACTCATTTTTATAGAGGTAATCGCATTAGTCATATTTTTCACTCAATCGAGACATATACATACATACACACACGCCAATATTCATATGCAAAGCTGTTCAAATCTACCAAAGGACAATTAAACGATAAATAAGTAATAACTCCTTACAAATAATAGAAACTAATAATCCGAAGGTCAAAAGAAAGATGGGCAATTTCGTATTTTGGATATTTTCAACGCAAAAAGTTCACCCATGAGTCTAAGGTGAAGATAGCATAGAATTCGCTTGTTTGTTTCATTATTTGTTGGCGTAATTAGTATACGACCTCTCAAGGTCACACTCACACACCTACATTACTCATTTGTATGCGCCTACACGATAATAAGATAGCTGGTTATTGAAAAGAAATGTTTAATCCTTTGTTCATTTCTTTCAAAGTCTTCTCGCTAATATGTGTTCATCCTAGCTATCATAATTTGAATGGAAATGAAATTTTTATTATAACCAACCGGTTTACTTAACCTTGTGTTATAGGTCAGTTGACTCTGGAAAAAGTATTCACTACGTTAAAGTATTTAGTCCATTAAAAATAGCCTAGAAAAAATTACAAATGAGAACAAATGACAAAAGATATACGTTACCTTAGATGTGGCGTGATAAACTAGTGTATAACTCTATGGTGCTTCAATCGATGAGTGTTAGGTTCGAGTTTACAGTATAACTATCATCAATCACTACGATATACGTGAACAGTCGAGACAAGAAGAAGATGGATATCCAGGATTATATTGTCATTTACTATCAAACGGATATGTCATACAACGTTTGGTTGTTGATTCATCTTTTTTTGACTGATAATTTTGCTAGGCATTGTTTCGTCTTTCCTTAACCTGATCCCTACGTCTGTTACATTTGAGCATTAACTAGAACCTGTGTCATCCATTTAAAAATACATTACTAAGTCTGCCGTTTTCCTGACATGAAAAATTTCGTTGTGGTATGCACCAAAGGATAAGTCTGTAATAGTAATGGAGTAGTTGTATAATTTTCTAGCCTGAATTTCCTTAAACTACTGTCCTTTCTTCTACAGAAAGTGAACTAGAAAGGAATAACAGTAGAAGCTAGTCTGTTGATCTTACCTTCGCTAAGATGCGTGGATTGCTTGTGCATTTCTAGCAGTGAAGAACCGCCTATCATCACTTAGCAATATGGGATTCTTCCTGTTTTGTCTCTAAACACTTGCACGTGTTTACTTATTAAGTTGCTTTGCTCTCACTAGTTTCTTTTACCTTGGAAGCTTTAAGTAAACATCCGCTGAAGATTATACATATATGGCTCATATATTTAATTCATGCCGAAGCTTTTGTCATAGACGACATCTACTTCTTCGTCCAACTGAGTGTCAATCATCATCTATATTCTGTTGAACTAAAGGATGTATTGAGAACTCATACGCGGTCACCAATCAGTACTCAGAATGATGGAGGTCATCGCATCCAAGCAGTCTTCTTTTCATCTTAACCTGCTACAACTCTCTCTCTCTCTCTCTCTCTGTATGTAGTAGGATGTGAGTTGAACTTGTTGTATGAGGGCTAATTATTGTACTACTCGGTTGCCCATGTCAAAATAATCGGAGCGTGATTTAAGCCATCAATTTAGAGTTAAATGATTGAGCCGATGAACCACACTTCCATTTACTGAAATATTTATTTGAATGAATTCACTAATTTTCCTTGTATCCCTCATCGACACTTCAGCGTCTGATATATGGTATCTTGTTTACATTTTTGAAAATTTAAGTGATTGTTTATATGAGTAATGAATCCAGTTTATTTTTGAATGTTCATATGCAATCAATTTGATGTTCATTCAGTTAGACTTTTAAAGCTAATTGCAGGCTTCTCATAATGAGCAAGTGTTACGAAGTTATGAGCTCAACCTCTCAGTTTACTGAACGGTTTAACTATGCATCTTTTCGGTGTTTCTGCATATATGGATTATGAAAACTAAGCACTTGGAAGGAAAACTAAAAGACATGCTTGAAGTAACTGCGTAAATAATAAATAATAAATACGCGAACAATACCAACACAATGAGACACTGAATCCGAGTAGCGACTTTTCTCCCTCAATGCCTTATACTTCAGTAAACCATGAAAACATATGCAGACAAAGACTGCCCTGTGGCTGCAAGGAAGACACGTTATTTCACAAAAATATATAGTTCATATACAGTTTCATGATTATATAAAACCACCAGGTCAAAATTTAAATAGCTTATTCTGATTGAACAGCTGTGGGATAACATTATCTATTAAGGTTTCTGCTGACCACACAGTGACATGAAACAAAAATAGACTCATTTGGCCGCTGATGGCATGAAGTGTTGATTTCCATTCAGGCTATTTCCTATGAATGTTCCATAAGAAATGCTATAAAAACTATGCCATCATTAGGAGAAATCGTTGTGTTTTGATTACTCTTATGTACATTATTACCGTTTTATATAGAAGAAATTAATTTTCTCCTGCATTTTCGGCGTTAGCCTACCGCTCTCACAGGCCTGCTGAAGTCTGCTCGTCTTTTACGCTTAGTTGGCATTGTTCGAAAGCTCGATAGGTATTCAGAGTATGGTGCTTCAATTTTGATATTGTTAACAGCATTGTTTGCTTTAATAGCCCACTGGTTGGCTTGTATTTGGTAAGTAGTATTGCGTTGTATGTTCTTTTGTGTTGATTACTGTTCATTTGTAAAAATATAGATAGGCGGAATTCAAAATCCATTTGTATGTTTACTCATAAGACAATCAAGTCACCTATGGTCACTGAACTACGTGTGCTCCCTTGTCTGCTCAAACTTCGGTGACTGGAGTGCTGTTTGAACCATAGATTATAACTAGTTCATAAATTCATAGTTATGTAGTAAGCAAGGTAGCACTTTAATTCTGTATACTGACCGAACTTTATCCCACAAATAATTCAATGTGATCAGCATGTTATTTTGTACAATGCTTCGGTTTTAGTGTATTGTGTTTTAAGTCAAAAAGTACCAGACTTAAATTCTGATTTTACTGGTAATTGCGCATCCTTTGAAATACAAGTCCCCCTGCCGGTCCCATTATTACTTTGTTTGACTCATTCTGTCACCATCTTCACCACTGCCATGCTAGGTGGGAGCACTGACGATGCATAGCTTTCTGAACGCGTATACCAGAAGTTCGAATATTTTTGGCCTGCGTTTTGCATCTGTCAGATGTAAGATGGTGCTGCAGGACTGGTCTGCACCTACTTTTAGTTTAAGGGATAGAGAGTGAAGTGGTGGAGTGCGTCAAACACTTCACTCATTTGATGAGTTGTTTCAGCATTAGCTGGTAAGTTGCTGGCGAAATGTCAGATTGGATTGAAAAGGCCTATTTGATATTTACCAACTTGTCCCATGTCTTTTACCAACTGATGAGATATCTGACTATCTACCTGTTAAAAAACGAATATACTGCACTTCATTTCGTTCTGTCCCGAGGTATGGCAGCTGAAAAGAGGAGATCTGAAGAGATTACAGCGTTTTGACCACAGATGTCTACGTAACATCTCTCGTTTGTGGTGAGATCATTATATCAGTAGTGGTGAGGTTTGACAGAGGGTGCAACGAAAAGAAAGCAATTTAGTCGATACAGTTGCACACTACTGATTGAGGTATCTTGGATGTGTTGGACATGCGGAACCTCTGCTTAACTTGATGTAAAATGTTAGCTGAAGTGGGATTGGTTTGCAAGGAAAACAATAGCGACCAGATCTTTACACATTGTTTTAAATTGAGTACAGAGATATAGATTGCCTGACTGTGGTCAATGAAGCGATAGAAATCAGTGGTTGGAGACCTCTGGTGGCATGACTGAAAATTGTTCACAGTAGCGTAAATGCAGTCACTCTTTTACGTCTCCTTAAGCCTGAACATTATTTCTTTCCATCGTTTTTTCGAATCCTCTCTCTTCCGATTCACTTTTGTCTGCTTTGATATCACTCTACCTGCTTTTTGTTCGCGTGCCACTATGAATTGTGGCAACTTGAGCCTATGCATGTCTGTTCCGTGGTTTTACGTTGATTTTTTCCCTTTCTGACTCTCTATGCTCAGTCCACGTTCTTTCAACTATGGGATATCTTTTGCATAGGAGCACGTTTTCGCATTCTTAATTCGTATGTAAATTCAACGTTTCAGCTTTCAGTCTTCAAACAATATTTGTCTTAAACGCATGACTCATGTGTGAAGAGGGATGTTATCAACACTAAACTGAGTGTCATCTTTTATCCGTTGGTATGTGTATGTTTACGTTAGTCAGAAAAAGGCTACATAAGTCCAACCAACTTTCTTACTTTTTAGGGATAACTGAATGTGGAAGAAAACCTGGTATACAGCTAATTTCGAAACATTGTTCTCTGTATTACCTGCGCTGTTTCATTCGAGTGGTATTTTAGGGTTTCTTTCTTTCTCCTGATTATTTGTTTGACAGTCTGAGTCTCCTATAGTAGTGAGCCCTTCAAGTTATATTGGACTGAACGTTTCATTCAGGTCGCACCATTTTTGGAAGATCATCCGGAGTAGGGTGAATCTAATAGTGCCTACATACACCATCACAATACTTAACAAAACTTTTCAGGCGTAAGTCGTACTGCAGTCTGGGCTGATGTATAATTGAGGTTCAGTGCTTCATGAGGATAACCGTCATCTCCACCCGCCATTTATCGAAGAGTGTTGAAACTACCAACCATAAATACTGTAGAGACCTCTGTCACCTCATGTTATGTTGCTGACGATAACGGATGTCTTAGTGTGTTGATCCAATGATATCTAAATCGAAGGTATTTACGACTGTTGGATGCGATGGTTTTCAGTTAAAAAAGACCTTGTTGATTCTGCGGGCACTTCCGTATATCAATAAGAATATTTATAATAATCCACCTTCGTTTTCGCGTACCACAAGATGAATTAGTTTTCCAGTGTATGAGCATATTATGTCAAGAATCCCACTAAGGCAATCTGCATCTATCAAAAGTAGATCGTGTGGATAATTAGACTATTTGAGATAAACATCACTGTGCATGTGTTATTTAAGGGTACTTAGTATTTTTAGAAATCTTATTCATCATACTCTCTATCTGCTTTCACGGAATAGTTTAATACTGTGTTGTTTTTGTAACACTGGATTGTGTGCTTTAACGTCATATAGCGTTGGTTTTCGAATATTGGATTAAGTTTCTGCATGTTTGTCTGTCAAGATTTCATCAAGACATACCACATTTCTGCTGATGTAGTAAATCTGTCAAATACCACTATGTCTGTTGCACAAAAAGAAACCATCGTAACTAGTGCATAACTCTAGATTTTGAAGCGAAGGATGCCGGATTCGAGATTCGATGGGCATAGCAACGTTGAGGTACATGTTATACCCAGCTAGTAAATGCTTAGAAAAAATTAACGCGTCAAAAACTTCATTGCCGCCACCCTTTATCCATTTCCAGACCAAATATGTTTCTTTGTTAATATTTACCAAAAAATAAGCATATTGATCCTTTATTTTCCTTCATTATATCTAGGTATGCCATTGGTCATGCAGAGCATTTGTACAGGGAACCGAAAATCGGTTGGTTAGATACACTTGCTGTACACACTGAACAGTACTACACTGACCAACCGAATTCTGGTCCAGATTTGAAAACAAAATATATCACAGCCTTATACTTCACCTTTTCTAGTCTTACATCAATCGGCTTTGGAAATGTCAGTCCAAATACCAATGCTGAAAAAGTTTTTTCCATTATCGTGATGCTAGTGGGATGTAAGTTTATTGTTGTTTTAAATTTCGTTTCTTTTCTCTTCACTGGATTTCTGTTCAGAGTTTCATAGTTTGTTGCCTGTTTATTTATTTATATGCTTGTTTTAACGTAATATTGATTGATTGGTCCCAATTTCTGTTCTTTGTCAGATTTTGGTAACTCTGTTAATCGTTTCTTGTTGTGTGTATGTGTTTGTGTGTGTTCTTGTATACTGATAATATGCCCAGCACTCCACATGACCTTTTCTTAAAAACAACGTTGTGTTATATAATTCGATTTTTACAGGTAAAAAAGTTTTTTCCCTGCCTAATTGGTGATATTACTGAGTGTTTCTGCTCGTTTGATGAATCTTTGTAAATTGGCATATTACAGGCATAAATAATTTTCATTCCCTTTCCTATGTATACTTAATTCATAGATCTTTAAAAAGGTCCAATTTTTTATCGAAAACCATATGATTTGACCGAGATATACTGTGTTTGCGTAAAATGTTTTCTGTAAGATGAGAAGCAACGCAATGTGTTGGTATACTGTTGTGTTTTTAAATTAAAGCTGACAGTACCATTTTCTGTTTAGGATGAATGATACATCACGAGTATTTTTGTTGTTGTTGAAAGTACTAAATAGATAGTACGAAGTGCTTCTCGGGGTGTATTGGATGCAGTTAACAACACATTTTATGAGGGGGTAGGTACTTGAAAAGTACTTGGAAATGAAACTGAATTATTGGTTTGTGAGTTCCAGCAAAACCCGTAATGCAGGCATGTTTGACACTCATCATGCACAGCTGTTTGAATTTGTTGATTGTAATAAGGTTACCTTCGCTTTTTATTGCACTTTATTGTTAGTAACATAGCGAAGTATGACTGCAAATGGACAGTGTAAAAAAGAGCACAAGTGGAGTAGTAATTAGCCTAAACAAACACCTTACTACTGTCAGATTCCTCACCTTTAGACTCCACCAGAGCGTAAAATTATTTATACAAAGGCGGTAAATACTCTTGATTCATCTGTCCAATCTTCTTTTCTAGTTTGATCGGAACATATAACGAGAATCTTCCCACTCGATAGAGTCTGTTGGATTTTCTTTATATACATGCTGTACAAATATACGAGTAAAACTTAGCCATTGTAGTAGAATGTAATTCAACTTTAGTTGATTTATGTGGTATACCACACTGTAAGACAGTCTTATTTACTGGGTTATGTTTTGCACAAAAACTGATATCCATAGTAATATCAAGGTAACTCCGCAACTTTGAGACATGGTTGGTTCTAATCCTCTCTCCTTCCTTGTGATAGACGTAGTAAAAATCTAACTATATCTAAAACAGGTTTTGAGACACTTCTGTCTCGCTGTGACATATCTAATAAGTCTACTGACAGACTGATATTCTGTAATAACGAGTCACTCGGTCTCTTTTCATAAGTATAACCCTAAATATGTCTGTTTTTCAGAGAAATTCTCGTGGATTGTCGTTACACCTATAGATTACATTGTGTATTAAAATGTGAAATACACTGAACAACCACATGCACGTTTGTACATCAGTGAATGAGCCACACACTATGTGTGAGGGCTAATAATACTATTTGACAATCCAGACCTTAGTAGGTCGAACTCGTGACCCACTGGTTGGAAGTCTTTTCTTTGAACCAATGAGTCACAGCTCGGGAGAAATTGATAAATTTGTTTTTGTCGCATATTGGTCCCATACGCATACATCTGCCTTTTATATTTCTCTTTTGAATTAACTTAGGAAATGTTATATTCCTCCCTATAGTTAACTAATAGATACTCTTTGACGACAGAATTTCAGTATGTCGAGCATCTTTTTTCATAATACTGAAATGTCTTCACCGTTTTCACCATCTTTTTCAATTAATATGTTTTTTCAAAATTTTTATTTTAGTGTTAATAATAATAATAATACTGGCTTTATTCTGAAAGATATTTCGGGAATAATTTGCAGAATTTTCAGCATGTCATATGGCATCAAAGGGACGGAAACAGTGTATATGTATACATAATAAAATGAAATAAGTAGAAATTATATATTGACGACAAGTGTATTTACTCCTACCACTTTCTTGAAAATGCAGTCCATTTGGTTAGGGTCACACTAGCAACTAGATTCGTAGAACATAAATAACAGCTAGGTGTGTACTCGTCAATTAGTTTGCTTTCAAAAACAAAAGTTGATTACTTAGGTAATTTCTAACACTTCCTGACTCGCACAAGAGACAAGCTAAAAACCGTATTCTGAACTTTTTATATTTAGTAGTACATGAATAAAGTCTTATATACTTGGTTCTGGTCTTATCTGAGGACCGAGACGTAGAAAGCTTTGAGTGAAGAGGATGCTGATCATCTCATAAAATGACTTCTGTCAGCTGTTTACATGAGCTAAGATATTTTCTCACAACAGTTTCAATTAGAAGGTTTAGAGGCACATCGCTAGTTCTGTTGACAGTCTTCAAAGTTCTACACCACATAGCGTAGTTTTTTTTCAGGAACCCGGGAATAAATACAGGGGAACAATAGAGAAGAATAGGCAAGATACCGGTATTTATAGAACACAAGAGAAGAGGCTGAGTAATACTAGATATCCGGTTGTTTCTTAACTGAGATAACTTCTCGAAATTTTCCAAAGGACCTTAATATCATCGTTCTGTGGTAATTGATTCAGTCTCACCAGTTGATGACTAGTTCAAGGTACTTCTAACCCAGAATGCGAATGTTCAGATTGATCTGAATTTTTGACCAGCAAACGTTTTAGTGTCATACTAGACATCACCGTTGTGAGTACAAACGTTTTTTCACTGTAAGGCTTGACTGGACTTCTTGAACAGGCGATGGTAGTTCCAGTTTCAAATTGCTATAATATGTGGTATTTTTTAGTCAAGTTGTCATATTTCCGTCAAACCCGATGAGAATGTTCAGCAATACTGGCAAGCACCGGTGTCTTTTCAGAGTAACACTCATGCAATCAGAAAAAAAAATACTTTGATTAACTTACTGTACTATATGAAAACGATTGAACAGAGTAAATCAGTCATCATGTCTGATTAACGTAGTGTTCTAATGCATAGAGGTATTTTGTCGAAATTTAATTAATTCTGGAAAAAAAGGTTGCATATACTCAATTTTGAGCATCTCCAACAACAAAAGCTGTCATTCTTTGATATTGCTGCTCGGAAGAGATGTATATAAAGGAAGGGATGATAGTTTGTGAAGGAATAAACTTGTATCAATGCTGTGTGCTGCGCATTCTGAGATATCACCTACCTCCACATGAGATTTGAGTTGAAGCAGAATTATTTTAAGAGTGATGTGAGTGTTATCAAACCAAAACATAACACTAAATCTTGGGAGTCAAGCTTAATCGACAAATGTAGGCTATTTGATTAGAATTCTCGATGCCTTTTGATACTGAAATGGACACATCTTATAATCCTTAGTTGAAGTACAAATTTATTCGCCGTGGATGAAACACTCAGTGTGTCTGCTTACCTATCTACCTTATTGGACTAGTGAAGTGCTATTTTGATACACCTTAGCCAAGTGTTTGTTGTTAACTTCTCTATGTTATATAAAACCTTGAATATTTTTGTAAACCAGACTAAAATTGAGGTTTATTTTCAGTCTTATCAGAGACAAAATAATTCAAACTTTTAGATTATATAGATTAACTAAATTAGTTGAAAAGTACTCTTGTATCCTGTAACTTATTGTCTCAGGCACTTGAATTTCAAACCATGGATCCCAGGTTCTAATCCTTCTTCATTCACATCGTTCTGGACAACCGAGTAGTATACCGTAAGTACTTGGTAGTAAAATATCTATTCCCTGTATCCCTAAAGAAGCTAGAAAACCTCGAATATAATCATAATCAATCAGCTTCTTCTGAACTAATCAAGGAAAGTCATTTGACTATGCATGTGAATCGATGGTTAAATAGTGCAACAAAACCCGTTTATAATACCTTCTACAAAAGGCAGAACGTTTCAAGGTTTCATGCTAAACAGTGTTTCGTAAATTGTTAACTTTATTGTTTTGTCAGCTCTTCCGTTCCCTAGGAAACGGAGGCGATCTAAGATAGATCCGAAGGTTTTTATACAAGTATCCGCGGGCGTATGTCAACCTACACGATATATTAGTAGGGTACCACACAGTAGGTGTGACTCAGTTTAGTACGTTTGCCTGTACCGGTTTACTGAGTTGTATCACCTAATAGCGTGAGTGAATATGCTTAGCACAATCTTTGATTATTATGGACTGAATTCGAAAGAGCAGACAACATAAGTGAAAATTGGAATCTACCATAATGCTTAGGCTGGATTGTTGTATTCATCAAACGAAACAGAACGTGATACAATCCATCTATTATATCAAATCAGCTTCTAAGGAAACAAAATAATTAGTGTAGTCCTAATCTTGATGCCCAAGTAAACAAGAATAAAATGCAGTTTTGAAGTAAGAACTCATACGTTCATAGAATGTTCAAAATTTACAGGGCAATAAACTGCACATGGGTCATTTCCACCATTGGTCGATTTAAAATAACATTGTCACTGAATCTGAAACCGGTAGGTCTACACTTCAACACATGACTCGACCGAAAATTTCAAACAGTGAAACGAAGTGAATTGTTCTAAGCTATGGATGCTCTCGCTATTGTATCGACCCCCAAGAAGAATAATGGTTAAATGCCAGTAATTAGCAGAATTTCGTGAGGTGGTATTAGTGATATTAAACTGCGGAATAAAACAAAAACAAGACAGGAGTTTAAACACTAGTGTCTATGGAAAACCATCACACTCGAATCATTGCGTAGACTTCAAATCATCTCAACCCATCTTAGTTAAAGTAGGCTTAGTAAAAGTCTAAGTAGCAGTGCCAACAAACTTACTGGTATTACAGGTCTTAGACAACAAATCAGATGCATTAAGGATACCTTAATTAATTGATTTGTTATTAATTAAAAGGAAAATGTGACTGATAGTGGTAACACAGGTGGTAATAGTAACAATAACAATAAAAGCAATACTGTGAAAAGAGAAAAGAATTCAAAATCTCTACGGTGTTACCACACTAAGAAAGCACCTCGGAGACACCACATAGGATTCTGAATAAGGTTGGGATTAGGGTGGCATTTAAAGCTACAAATTAACCTAGAAATTAATTTTTAGGTTAAAAATTCTGTCGATCCAATTAAGCAAAATAATTTAGTTTACGGAATCCCATGCAAAGATTGCTAATTCAAATACATAGGTCAAAGTAGTTGTTCAGCAGTTGCCAGCTAGATATACTTGTACCACAGTGGGCGTTGTTACCACTGCAACTTGAGCTTACCAACCAATACTTCGAAAGACAGAGCGCCACCCACCAAGCTATTGTGTCATAATAGCTACCAGCTTTGCAAATAACAGACAATCAATGCTTTCGTCATCTGTTCTAGCGACGTATAATGAATACTGCCTCACTGGTATGTGAAATACTAACTCAGTTACTAAGGTATCCATCTTTTAACTAATGGATCAGATTTAGAACTACAACCCGCTTATCGTGGTTCGGGTAACCAGGAAAATCAGCTCTCAGACTTTAGGTAGTGTTCATAACCTATTTCACTAATCGTGTACTAGTCTTTCTCCTTTCTTACCTGATTCCTTTTTATTTCTTCATGTTCGATACTCCCTGTGTTTAATTCCCTTTCTTTTTTTCTACTCCCTTTAGCTTTGATGTATGCAAGTATATTTGGTAATGTTGGTGCACTTATTCAACGTCTGTACAGTGGGACAGCAAGATATCATGCACAAATGTTACGTATTAAAGAGTTTATACGCTTTCATCAAATACCTAGTCCATTGCGTCAACGACTAGAGGAATACTCCACTCAAGTATGGGAGCATACAAATGGTATAGATATGACAATGGTCCAGTATAGCTTTCCAGAATCATTACAGTCAGATATTTGCCTTTATGTTTATCGTCATTTTTTAAGTGGGTCAGCTGCATTTAAATGTACGTTCGAAAGAATTATTTGTTGGCATACACATGGTGTTGTTTCCTCTTTTTATTGTGTAAAACATTTGCATTTTCTTCATTTCTGAGGTTCATAGCAATTTGATTGTTTTCAACAGAATTTTCATCAGGGATCGACTTAAGCCATAGAATAATTGAAAAACTAACAGCACTGAACAGCTGCTTCGTCCTAGTTCTAAACTTCTTAACAATAAGTACCCATAACCTCATGTGGAATCGAACCTAAGACTAGTTAGGTCTTGGAATTAGTGCGTCTTCACTAAATTTCTTGGGGATTTACTTTAACGCCGATGTATGTTGGCCACTCATCGGTCTGGGCGCTCACTTGACTTTCAATGAATAAGTTATTGGTCAGTGAAGCCTTGGCGGCGGACTATTACACAAGTATTCACACATTTCATATACCGCATAACCTAGTATATAGTGTATTTCTTTTCTAAAGCATATAATATTCATGAATATTTGATGATATTAAAGCTGTTTAAAGTATGTTTGATTGGTGTGCAATTAATTCAATCCGCTATCTGACTGTATATTGGACTCCTGAGCCACATTTAATGTGTTAGAGTTCATGATTCTACGAGATTACTCACACCGTAATGTGTGAAGCTGAGATTTGAATCCCATACCCACTGCAAAAAATTCAAGCATCTAACGTGGTGAGCAACAAGTCACCAGTGAGATGTAAAACTTGAGTTTCATCCCGTTTGATACTTATCTATAGAATATGTCTGCATACTGATGGCTTCCCGTCCTACTGCTAGATCTTCAATACAACTCTTGTTCTTTGAACTATGAGAGATTATCTAATTAACTAATGACACAATATCCAACTACATGTAAGTATTACCTGCAATGAAATCTTCAGCACAATACGACAAAAGAATTCAGTCTTAGAGTATAATTCCATCTAGATGTAATGTTATTTAAACTTGGACTAAAACTAAAGGGATTTCCATAGTATCTCATTATCAATCACATAGGACTGGGGATTACTGCGTAATGGTTCAAGTTATCACACCTTCAGTCGAAACACCAAGTAACAAAACAATAAGGTGGAAGGTGAAGAAATAGAGAAGAATCGGTCGAAAGCAATGAGAAACAGTGAAAAACGGGAGGAAGGAGGAAATGATTACATTAAGTATTGCGGTTAAGATGTAGATAATGTGTAGATACATCTGCACCACTGACATCGATTCCGGACCATGTCACCTACAGTCTCCAAACACTGGTTTCTATTGTCACGTGGATCCCAACCGGCTAGCCTGCATCTCCCAGCATGGCTCAAATCAACAGTCGAAGACTTCATGCATTGATGCCATGTTTTAGTCTGGGCGCTCCAACATTTTTCCAGACTGGACCTACTTCAGCTGACATTACGCGATGAAACAGACGGTGATTAGGAATTTGTGACACATCTCCCAACCATGTCAGCCGATGAACGTTCACAACCATCTCAACTGATTTACCTCTTATCTCTAAGACTCTACACCTGACTTCTGTGTTACTCATGTGATAACACCACGAAACACGGTCTATGCTACGAAGGCAATAGTGGTTGAATACCTGAAGCCTTTACATGTCTTCTACCTTTAATGGCATTGTTTCATAGCCATGGAGTAGAACAGAGTGGACTGCAGTACACTACACTCGACCCTTAGTAGACAATCGGATATCGTGGTCCATTGTATCTAGTGTTTTAATCTTCATAAGAATTCACCAGAACTTACTTCTTCTTTATAGAATTACTGGTGTTGTGATCCTTTGTGTAACTGTATATTGTGAATCTATATCTTAGATAGTGAATTTCACTTTCAGATTTTATGAATCGCTTGACTGGCCTAGTTTTCATGCTTTTTGTCACCCACACCAGGAAGCATTTTCTGCAGGATTGAGGCACTTTGTTTTCTCTCAGAGTTTCAGCATGGTGTCACTCAGTGTAGTAGCCGTATGCATTGTCAATAAATTGCTTAGTGACCTCCCTGTTTATTGATTTTGAATATTTAACTCTGCAACACGGTGCCTCGTATTGTCATATCACTGGGCTTAGCGACCGTGTTGCGAATTTCATCGATTGACTTCGGTCAACGCATTGAACTTGACAGTTATGTATGTCAGTTAGCATTCAGTCACTGGCTCGTGCACAGTCATTTTTGTCATACACTACTTCAGTGATCTGAATCCGTTTCCTCTGGCTTCACTAATTGGTACCGCCAGTGATATACAACGGACAGTATTATTCATAGACTTGTAGATCAATCTGTGTAAGTGTTTACTGGTTAGCTTTTTAGAATTACTACTGTTGTTTCCCTTTTCTGTTAATTTTCATATTCAGCACAGGACATGGTTGCATTGTTCTTTTTGCAAGACATGTACAACCATCATTATTTAGCTTTCAATATATTTTGTTGAGCGTATGAATTTTATTGTAAAGTAATCATTGTTGGTAAGCTTTACAGTATAATCATTTCTGTCAATATATTTATCGCTGTTACGTGAATAGATTTCTGAGTGAAAGCGAATATTCATTCAGTGACAATGATTGCTCTGTTTTTCGGTCTAAAAACGCAGTGATTCCTCACGTGTGTACACCTTCCTGCAATCATTTGCTTCATTATTTGTCAGTATTATTCTAAGTAGCATATAGACTCCATCTGTTTATAAATACATATTATTTTTTATCCAGATGCCTTGAACAGGATCATATTAGCATAAATGAATGAAATGATAGCCGAGTAATGAGGAAAAAAAGGCGTCTACATATGTGTGTGTTACTGTACAGTTTCTCGGAACGGTTTAGCCGTCCTCTTTATTTTTTGCCATGTTTTCGTCACCTTTTTCATACTTACGAGATAATGGATATTTTTAGTGAGTAATAAGGAAAAAAAACTTCAGAAAAAGACATTGTTCTATGGTAGGATTTGGGCTTGAAGGTTATTAAAACTAATGAAATGTGTGTAAATTAGTTTCGGCGGAGCTGTGGTTATCAGTTTAGGCAGTTGACTTTCAACAGTTGATCCTCGGTTCTAGTCCTATTCTACCTGCTGAGTTTTGGGCTGCTAGATAGTACACATGATTGTGTACGTGTTTAACTAGTTTAGTTTAAATTTATTATGGCAATGCCAAATCTTCTTTCTTCATTTTGCATGTTGTGATGATTTTCATAGTGACCCATTCGAGTTATATCTACTGTAAATCTTTTTCCTTGAGCTTCTACAAAATTACATTAAAGGATGAAGTTGTGCTATTAACGATGGAAAAACGGACCATTTGTAAGCTGTTTCTGTACCTTGGGCATCTGAGCAGCGTATCTATAATCTTAATTTCCTGGCTTCTTATCGATGGATAAATTGGGGAACGGAATTTTTGAAATTATTTTTATTCTTTTGTTACGACTGTAATTTATTGAACACTGTTTACTTTTAATGTTAACCAGCATCCTTACTTCATTTGTCTACCTGTTATTTCTGAGAGTTCTGCTCAGTTTACACTATCTTCGAATAATTTCCCTGTCTGTCAGCTCACAACCGCACTTACTATGGACTTATTTTGAGACACTATGGTATAAGCATCCAGTCTAACTGGTGTTAGTACCGTACTAAATATCAGAGCCAGAACTGTCCTGGTCTGCGCTTTTGGACTGGAAGAGAGTAACAGGAACTAGCAAGGAAAATCATATGTTTTGGTCGCTTTGTCCCTGTAGTGTGAATGCATTTAGAAATGAGTTCTACTATCACTTAAGTGACTTCAACCGAGTGCACTTAACAGATATAGTAGTGACTGTTGGAGACTTGAATATCCAGGCTCAGAGACCAAACTCAGAGGAGAGTTACTTAGGTGACCAATAAAGATTGGTCAGTCATAGCAGGATAATAGCAGCCACCTTGTGTAGATCGAAACCAATTGTAGCCAGCATCAACTTCTGGCAAAGCTATTGGCATTCTGCTAACTGTTGTTCCTTTTTAGTCATTCAACTCTGGACTCAAATAAATGAAATTGCAACTAGCTGCTGTTGGTATATGAGTTAACAAGATTGTTGCTTTTTTGGAGCAGGTGTTTAGCTTTTGATCAAGCTTTGGTGTGTACTACGCTCATATGGAGTTAAGGTGGTCATCGAAATCTCATCCTAAATAGGTCGACAGTAGCAAATTGTTTACACCCAATGCTGAAAAGAAGAATCAAAAGAGCTAGATGCAAGAATATCTGTTGAGTCTCTTGAAAGTATAGATGAGCATTGGCTGCTTGGATCACCAAAGGACACTTCACTAACATACACTATAACTTTTTAACACTCGTAGATGTACTTTTTTGGAGGCAGGCAGATGATACACAGTGCTCAGGTAAAAAGCATGACGCTTTTTGTTCGGAAAGCGCCGGTAAGATGGGATCAACGACTACATGTTTCGTTGATGGTAGTTGTTCCAGCTCATCCAAGCAGTACTATAAGGAAGCCGATTGTTAGTGAAATAGTTTCTCAGTCGAATAGTATATCAGTCAACAACCCTAAAAGAAGCGTAAAAAGCTGACTAGAATGGATCATACAGGCATCTTAGCTGACCAGATGCTTCAGGTAATCGTTCCTCAACCTCCTATGGTATGTTATCGTTAGTTAACACTGATCCAGCTAACGAAACAAAAGTCAAGGATGAATCAAATGTGTTCAAACCCCACTGAACACCCGACCAAAACCAGTTAACCACCGCCTATTTTATTGATGAATGTGAAACTGTAGTCAGGCAAAAAAGTAAACTGCTCGAGAATCTGTAGTGGATTAAGGGTACTCGTTTATTCTGTAATACGACCGTCATTGTTTTCACGATTGCAGACCAACAGTCGTTTCATCTCTTTTCGGTATTAAGGTTGTCTTTGATTAGTTGGACATGGTTGTGCTCTAGACCACCAATTTATTACCGTTTGTCACTATCTTGAGAGGTGTCCTAAACAGGAATTATTCAATTAGAATGAAGGTAAACAACCATATATCTCTATTGCTGTGAACCAGCTGTGAGCTTAGGAGGATTGTCAAACTTCACCATTCCTCTTCAACTTTACTGTCGATGACATTCTTGAGATTCTTCTGAGAGAGGTGGTTGGCGGTTACAACTCAATTTTTTTTCAAGAAAGCTAATCTTTAGCGTTTAGTGTGAGGAGTAGATCGTCTCTCTGTGCGACCATATAAGGCCTACTTAAATCATACCTAATAACCTGTCAATCAGTGCCCATGGGTATGGCATATGCTTTACGCCATCGAAATGATGGATGTTTTTATGATGGTTTGTAGCAGAGTTTTGTTCTGCATGTGTGAGACCTGACCTCTCCAGGGTGAAGACTTCCTCTGTGTTACTGGTCACCATCTTCTCCATAGAATTTTTAACATCATAAGGAAACACCATGTAGGTAACTGTGAGGTGTGATAGTGTGTTCGAAGGTGATGGAGATCGTCAACCATTGAGTGATGTCATCATGATACTCGGGGTCCAACGGTTTGGAAGTGGACTGTATATGTAGTTTAAGTGTTTGAAATAGCATTCCTCCGTTTATCAGTCTTGGATCTGGTCGGAATAAGTAGGTGGATGGTCAATGCATAACACAACAGTGTGGAATGAAGAATAGCTGTGTTGGATCAGTATCTGTTGATGCCCCACGACTGTCTAGATGGAGTGGAGCCCAAGAGAACAAGCAACTCAGTGGTTTTAGACGATATTAGATATTTTAAAATGTAACTCATCGATGACATTACTGACGATTTCTTGTTTCTCCTGTTTTTGGAAAGTAAAACTAAACGGCCTTGTAGTGCGAGAAAAAAACTAAATCAGTGAAATATCTCGCACACAAAGTGCGCCGGTTCTGAATGTCTCACTTTAAAGAAAAGGCGGAATGACACCAAAGTAGATAAAGTTGTTTGAGATAATCAACAACTCGAAGACAAAAATTCACCAAGATGTTCAGGCGTTTAGAGGTGTCAAAGGTTGTATATGTTTGCTCCATTCTGGCCGATTTTCAGACATGTCTCCAACAGTCTCCAGTCATTGATTCCTTTTATCTCGTCAACCTCAGCCAGGCTGTGTACATTTCTCTAAACGGCTGAAACCAAAAGTCAGAGAATTGATCGACTGGTGCTACTGCTCGGTTCGGTCACCCTGAGCCCTCGTCCGGCCTAATCCAACTTCGCTTAGCATTGGACATCGAAGTAGGCGGTGACTTGGCAAACAGAACACATCTCCAAACCACCTCAGTCGATGAGAGTTCATAACCTCATTAACTGGCTTACCGTCTTTCACTCAACCTCTATATTGGTGACATGGGAATTTCACAAAATGCAAGCAGTGCTACGAAATCAGACAGCAGTGTAGATCCGCTTTATTTATCCTACTTCTAACGGCAATGACTCCGCCGTGTAATGGGAGAGAGCGAACTGCACAGGAGCGTACTTGTTGTCTAATAGATAAATAGTCGGATATCCAGACGACGTTATGGTTTGTTGTGGGCAGTTCTGTTCCTCCTGTATGTGAACTGACCTCCCTAAGCTGAAGATATCCTGAAACCCTGTTTTTGATCGCTACTGCCTCTGTAGGACTGCAAGTATCCTGAAAAACACCATGTTGATAATTCTGAGCTGTGATAATGTGTAGTCGAAGGTGAAGGAGATGGAGATGATCAACTATTGAGTTATGTCATCTTGGTACGCAGGGTCCAGTGGTTTAGAAGCGCGTTAAGTATGTTGTTCAAACGTCTGTAATACCGTTTTCTTGTTTCTGAGTTTTGGAACTGGTTGGAAGAAGCAAATTGATGGTTGTGTTTGGTGAACATCTGTTAGTGCCTCTGGATCAATCGGAGAGGTCATGAAATTCCATGACTTCTTTGATATCGAATGCAATTGTAAATGGAACCCAACAACAACTGTGCTGTCATCTATTTGTGTAATGTAGTACTGATTATCTTCCTTTTTTGTTGTGATGTAACAGTCCACGGCGTTGACAGATGAAGAGTGTTCTCTTACTGAATACCACCAGAAATCACACTATATCGAGTTTTTCTTATAGGTAGTAAGTATACTACAGCTGGGGCTCAAACTATCACTGATAAAGAGCTTTCAACATTTATCAGTTGTCTTTTACTCTGTTATTCCAAAAAGCATGCTCGTTTACTGAATAACTAACAATGTAGGGTAGTGTTAACTGATTTTTTAGGGTTCAGTACTTGCTTAAGTTGTCGAATATGATGAAAAAGGAAAGTGATTGTCAATGATCAAATGGTATCTGCAAACTAAGGCTAAATCATGTATTATTGGTGAAGGTTTTTGTACTGTTTTATACTTCCTGAGGTGTAATGTTCTTTCTCTAGTACATATCTGTTATAGATACTTACATGTGCATAGTCCTGTGTCTTATGCTTAGGAAGCTGGCTGGTGTTGTGACAGTGTCTGACTGTAGAGGGAGTATCGAGCAAGTATATGACACTAACCAAAGCTCTCTACTCAAACTCATTCAGCCGTGTAAGAGCTTATGTAGAGTTACCCTGTGATTGATGATAACTAATGGTTTCAACCGGGGATATTCGCTGCGACCATTCCTACTTAACTTCGTCATTAACGTACCAATGAACATGATAGTAGGTACGTCTGACTTTACAGGGAATGACTTACTCCTTGAAGGTCATCTGATTGGCTCTTTAAGTAAAGACACTGACAATATGCAGGGTCTCTTTAAAGTGTTGGACAGATATCTGGGTATATGCAGTATACGTTTCGCCTCTGTAGAATGTCAGATGATGCTACATGGCTGGTCTGTAACTGCTAGTTTAAGGATAGGGAGTGAAACAATGAAATACATTGACCATTTCACTAACTTAGGGAGTTGCATCGGCCCAAATGGGCTAGTTGCTTACGAAATCTCAGCTCGGATACAAATGGCCCGTTTGGCATTTTCTAACTTGCACCAACTAGCGGTATATCCGACTATCTATCAACGAATGAGTATACGGCGATGCATCTGTTCTATCCTGTTCCATGACTTTGAGACATGGTCGTTGAAAGTAGAAGACATAGAGGTGATAAAGGGTTTTGATCATAGGGACCTTTGTATGGTTGCTGGCTTTCGGTGGAATCACCGTGTTAGCAATGTTGACGTCGGCGAAGGATAGTAACTAGACAAGACAGGCAAGTTGATGGATGAGGTTGTTAACCTACATCGGCTGAGGTGGCTTCGATATGTGTTGCGCATGCCGATTCACTACTTATCTCGATGTGTTATGCTATAGTTTGGATTAAGTTGGAAGATGGTTCAGGGTGGTTAAGCCGAAACGTGTCACCAGTCGATGACTTCTCTACTTTTTGGTCTGAGTCATGTAGGGAGATGCAGACTGCCTAGTTGAGGACTCTTGGTGACATTGCTAAAAATTAGTCACCACGGTTCAGATGTCTTCACTCCTTGATGTTTTCTAAACTTTGAGTATTTGCACTAGCCTTTATTTTCAAACTGTTTGTTCACTTACACAAGTTTGTCTGCTTTGATATCAATCTTTTTCTATCCACTTGTTCTTTGGATGTAACAGTGAAGTGTGGCAACTTGGGCCGATGCACCTATGTGTGAGGTTCTACATTGATTCTGTCTATCTATTGGGGCTGGTTTAATTCGATGCACTATTGTACCTTTTCTTCATTATATCAATCCAAGCTATCATTCTTAATATACCGAATTCGAAATTTATTTCCAGGCAGTTTAATGTGGAACAAGCCATAATGTTATGCGCTCGTTACACCTTATATTGAGACTTCATCAATAATTCATCGTGATAACTATTTTCATGGTCAGTTCTGTCGCATTATATTTTTTCAACCATATCCAGAGTAAAACTTTATTTGTTATTGCCTTTATATTCACCTATCTGAGTAACATTCACATTACTAAACCGCATGCTTGACGCTGATACTTTCTTGTTGTTTACTGCGAAGCTACCTCATTTTTGTCATCAAGCTTATATTCCCGCATCCAGGTAACGTTGAAGAAGAAAGATATGAGTTCCTAATGAAAAGACTGCGCGTGTGTACATATTTGTGTATTTTGTTTGATGTAATTAGTTTATGCTTGATTCTGTATTCATTTATATTGCTTCCCCTCCATCTTGTTTGTCTATTCAGCACTAAATGATGGTTGTCTTCGGAATATCTCCTTACGTATTCGTTCTTCGCATATGCCGCCAAGTGATACACTTGTGCATACTGGTGATCTACTCACAGCTATTTATTATGTTGTCAAGGGCAGTTTAGAGGTTGTGACTACAGATGATGTTATACTTGGTGTATTAAATCCTGGTGATTTTTTCGGTGGTCTGCCTCCTCTGGCCACTGTGCAGAAGAATCCTAATGCAGCAAATCATGTCGGCAGTGGATGGGACTATTGTTGTTCTTGTTCTTCTAATCGTTTTGCTAATATAAATACCAGTTCAAAAGTAATGCAAGCTGAAGATTACGCATCTATGCCTGATAATAATGATAATAATACCTCTAATAACAATAATAACGCTAATGGTACAAATGGTGTGGTTTATCAACCCAATCCACCTCCAAAATCACGTTTCGCCGTTCGTGCACTAACTTATGCTGATGTACAATTTATTGACAGGCATGATTTAGCTGAATTATGCTCTATCTACCCAGAACTATCGTTACGCTTATTGGAACGCTTTGAATTAACCTTGCCGTTGACTATTTCATTCGCTGCTTCGAAACCCATGGTAAGTTGTACAAACAGTTAATTTGTGCGTGTGCGTGTGTGTGTACATACTTTATTGACTAAAAGTTGTGAAACGGCTATCATTAAAAACTGTACAGAATACATTACTTGTGGATAGTGGTAGCAGACCACTCACACGCAATTAGCACTGCTCACCAGGTGAACTGAGATGATGCAGTCGAAATCACAGCTGTTTGAACAAATCAGCTCTAGCAGTTGAATCAGCTCAGCTCGCCCCCAAACGAACAAAATAGTCGCCCAGTGATCGTCGTGAAGAGTCTGCAGCTAGTCGCTCATGTCAAACACATCATCAGCACTAACTTCATTTTGCTTTGAAGTGGTCGTTTCATTCACTTCCTAACGGTCAGATTACGTGTTCGCATCCAGCCTACCTAATTGGATCTAAATTCGCCAAGGCGGTGCAATCTTTTATATATCATGGACGTCCGTCAGTCTAGTTTACTCACCTGTAGGTGTTTCGTTTCTCACGTTGATCAACTTGAAATACTACTGACTAACCTGAGTAGTTTCAAACCGATATCTACCACATTGACGTAGTGGTGTGGTTTGTATACCACGATGACCCAGCAGGCTATGCTGGTGGAACGCTTGTTCTCACTAGGTCCTACCATACCAAAAAGGTGTGTTGGATAGTGGCTAAACAATAATCAGTTACTCTTATCCTTAACATGTTCTTAAACAAAGCAATGTTGCATTATGGTGGCTTAAACCAGTCATCAGTAGTTGGTGGTGATCCAAAACTAACGGACGTATGTTGGACTAAGTCTTGCATAATACAGGCTAATTATCGTGGCATCAGAAAGGCCGTACGTGATCGGCCTCAAGCAGAAGTCTCCTGGGCTGTGTGCTTACGCACTAACCCTTCTTTTTCAGGTACCTCAAGAAGACTTAACCTTCCACGGTATGGGCAGCCCGGAAGTTTCAACCACTCTCACAATTTTATCAGCGCCCAGGTTCCCTCAGACCATTATCCACCTCCCTTATCCTTATCTTCTAATCTTCCTTCTCGTCTCAGTTAACAATCCTACATCATTTTTAATTATTTCTAGCTCTACGGCTTTTGGCAATGATCTGAGTCCACAAGACAGCATCCTTAAACCACACTCCAAATGACACATTGGAGCCTTCAATGTCAGCACCCTCTGTCAAATCGGCCAGCAAGCCTCACTGGCCAAATCTGTAGCAATTGGAGCCATGAGTGTGTGATATGTTTGTGAGACACATATACAGGACCCAAGTGCGGTTATTCACTCAACCCCTCCCGGTCAGTATAGTGAGTCCGCAAAATTCACCCCTCGAGTCTCTAGAGATTCGATAGCTAGTTCTTACGGTCTTGCAGATGTAGGCATTGCATTAAACGCTAGGACAGAAAGCTCACTACTAGACTGAATCCTAGTTGTAAGTCGTCTATGCGCTGTCCGGCTGAACGGCACAATGAGAAATAGAAGGAATGGTGAAACTCGCCGTTGTCTCTTTCTGATCTCTGCTTACGCACTCACTGACTTCAGTTCTAATGAAGTGAAGAATGAGTTCTTCCGAAAACTGTCTAGTCTCATTTTGAAAGTCAAATGCTCAGATGTGTTTATTGTTTCAGGTTATTTCATTGCACAGGTGGGTGGGTTGTCTGAGTGAGGCGGAAAGGCAATTAAGTGGCACTTTCAGAATCCTGACTAAACGAACAGATAACAGTGATCGCCTACTACAACTGTGTTCAGGTAACCATTTATTTCTAGCTAGCACAAACTTTAGGTATAAAGAAAGACATCTGATGTGGCATGCACCGAGCCCAACTCAGCGATGGACACAGATGGACCATATTGTTATCAGTCATCGGTGACGATGGTGGTGGAAGACTGCCGCTCTTTCTATAGTATGTGTTTGGATAGCGACCACGCTCTGGTGTGAGAGCGTTTATGTCTGCGTCTCAATGGAAGTTGAGGTGGATATCAATGGTCAGTGAGGCTTTAGAGGAGAAGGATGGGTCTGCATTTCCCCCTCAGGGTATATGACTGAAATGATTTGGAGATCACTTCGAGGACCAGTTTAACTGGACTCCAGCTACCATTGCGTTGCCCGGTAACCAGTCGGATCCTGAGTGGGAGCATTGAGGTGGGCTTCCCAACATTTGAAGAAGTGGAGAAAGCGGTAGGTAACTTGAAACGTGGAAGGGCAACAGGATCAGATGGAATAATTCCTGTGGTCTATAAGAACGGTGCTAGAGTGTTTTTAGTCAAGTTAACTGGTGTGTTAACTGGTTTATGGGAGTCAAATATGATCTCTAACTAGTCTCAATCACTTATTATCCCAGTCTTTAAGAGAGGCGAGAAGTCCTCTTGTGTGGATGTGTGAGATTATAGGTTCTATAATCACTAAACTCATGAATGGAACTCGAGGACAGCAGGCCCGAGAAAGCCAGACAGGCCACAGATCTGTGCGTCGGTGTATCGATCAAATACTCACACTCCGTTTGGTTCTGGAACACAGGTCTGCCCGACACTAGCTGTAGTATCTTAACCTGCTGGTCGCTTTCGATGCCTCCGATCACAAGGACTTATGGCAATATCTCACTGCAAAGGGATCCTAGTTAATACATCATCTGTGTACGTCGAGTGGTATCCGTCAGTTTTATCATAGGATTTTTCATAAAGGTCTCCCTCTTATCATCTGACTACACAGGGATTGGCCTTATCACAGGAGAATGTATTGAAGACCTAGAATACGCAAGTGACGTAGTCCTGTTAGGTGAAGACGCTGGCAAGGTACAAAATCTTCTGGACACTTTGAGTGCAATTTGAGAATGTTTGGTATGTGTTTCTTGCTACCCTAATGCAAATTGTTGCACCAGGACTAGTTCTTGCTGAAGTCTTGATTAACAATGGGGAGTGACGTGGTTAAGTGCGTTGAACACTTCACTTATCTGGGAAGTCCGATCAGCGATGGTAACTCAGTGGGCGCTGAGATCTCTATACGGATACAAAAAGCTCAGTTGGCTTTTGTCAACTTACGCCATCTGTGGCGCCGGCGCGATATCCGATTGTCTACTAAGGGTCGAGTGTAGTGTACTGCAGTCCACTCTGTTCTACTCCATGGCTATGAAACAATGCCATTAAAGGTAGAAGACATGTAAAGGCTTCAGGTATTCAACCACTATTGCCTTCGTAGCATAGACCGTGTTTCGTGGTGTTATCACATGAGTAACACAGAAGTCAGGTGTAGAGTCTTAGAGATAAGAGGTAAATCAGTTGAGATGGTTGTGAACGTTCATCGGCTGACATGGTTGGGAGATGTGTCACAAATTCCTAATCACCGTCTGTTTCATCGCGTAATGTCAGCTGAAGTAGGTCCAGTCTGGAAAAATGTTGGAGCGCCCAGACTAAAACATGGCATCAATGCATGAAGTCTTCGACTGTTGATTTGAGCCATGCTGGGAGATGCAGGCTAGCCGGTTGGGATCCACGTGACAATAGAAACCAGTGTTTGGAGACTGTAGGTGACATGGTCCGGAATCGATGTCAGTGGTGCAGATGTATCTACACATTATCTACATCTTAACCGCAATACTTAATGTAATCGTTTCCTCATTCCTTTTTTCTCTCTTCTATTGTTTTCTATTTCTCACCGAGTTTTCTTCATCTTCCATTTTATTGAATTGTTATTCAATGGGCTGACATTGTTTGTGGTAACTTGAGCCGTTACGCTGTAATGCCCAGTCCTATGTCGGTTTTGATGATGAACATGAGTAGTTGGGAAATACACACATCTTTGGATTTCGCTAGCTAAATCAGAGTGATCTAAACACTGGAGTCACTTTAAGTCATTTCGAACCTATCTCACTAACCGTGTATGCCCGACAGATTAAACTGTCAGAGCCGAATTATTTAGATTTTCTGAATATGGCTGGCTGACTCGGATTGCCGTTACAACTTAAATATAGTAATCGATTTAGAAATTATTTGCAGACTTCACGACCCACATGACTAGCTCAAAGTTGCAGTTGAAAAAACTGTTGTTTGTGGGAAATGTCAAAGCAATCCTAATTAGGTTTTTTTTCTATCGGAAACCCTATTGTTATCGTAGTTGAACCGTCAACTAAATACTCAATTGTGAGAAATATGAAAGTGGCCATTTTCAATTTGTAAACTATCCATCGTACTCTCGTCGATTTACGTCCTTACAGTCAACTGCATTATTGAGGCGTTTTGATACATTCTTGTTTAGTTATTGTTTAGTAGACTGGCGAAAAATGCTTTGAACCTATCACAAAGATAGTATTGATATAAGATGTTACACATGGAAAAGCAGATTAACATTAACAAAAGAAAGTTTTTAGATAATATATCTCGGCTGTTCAGAAAAGAAGACAGAGACTGCATGACAGTTGATTTGTAATCAGGTGGACAATTTAGAGTGCTGATTTTCGATGACTAGTCTAGATCAGATTTGCTTATACTCAGCTAGTGATTATTATCGCACTCACTGGGTAGAAGCAGACACCTATTCGCAGTGGAGCCGTGGTTCGCTTATTGGTCTAGGCATTTGGCTTTTAAATCGTAGACCATTCATTCGAACCTGTTCCGCCGAGCGAAATGTCATTAGCTAGACAGTCTAATAGGCCTTCATACAATAGACATGACCCATTGTGTTATGATGCGGAGTTGTGAGAACGAACGGAAATACTTAACGATTGATAGTCGAGGGTTGAGACGATTCAACCCGAGTCATTCGCAAAGAGGAATCAAAAGACTGGAAATCAGATGGTTTTATTGTATCTCGGACTGAAAACGTTTATGAGTGAAAACAGACCCTATTTATAAAGTTTACAGTAACCCTAAAAGAAAAGTATATTAAAAGAGGCAGGACCCAATCAGAACCATGGCAAGTCATACGAAATATGACCCATGCGCGGGAAAAGAGCGCGAATAGACCAGTTCAAATATATACAAACTGTAAGTATGGGGTATAAGGGATATAGGCATCCCT